TTTTTGTTTTCTTCCCCGAGGGTCAACTGGCGACGCGATTCAATCGGTTCCCTCCAAAGGCTGGAGAGTCGCGTGATACTGAGGATCTAGGGGGGAGCCATCAAGAAAGTCTAGCGCGATGGATCTGAACATATTCTGTGACATATCTTCATTTTAAGGCTCTTGCCGACGCAGGGATAGGTATCGCCCGTGTTACTGGATTGTTTTTCCCTGATATCACACCCAATCTTGGGCGGTCCCGTTCCTGTTCAAGGTGAGTGCCCTTAGGACTTATGCTGCTCGGTCCTAATAGTGGTATTTTTGTTTCAGGTCCTCTTATACCCTCAGAAGCACAGATAGAGCTGGAGCGGGAGGCAAGTGCTGCTAAGAAAGAAGCCGCCTGATTGAAGAAGGCTTCTGGTCGTGCGGGCCAGTCCTCTGAGGCCACCTCTTCTGTCGCCTCTCATGTTGAATGGAGGGCTAATGATGGTGCATGGCCCACACCCTAGGCCACCCTAGAGGCCCATAACGAGGGCTTGAGCGTGGAAACTGCGGCTGCGCAGGAGTCAGATCCCATTCGGGTGGCAATTAGTCGCCAAGCTAGGCCCCAAAAGGAGAAGCTGCCCAAACGGCCCCATGTGGAGGCAAATGGCCCTTATGTTCAAAACTTGGGGTTACCCCAGCTCGGTTGCCCCGCCATCGAGGCATGGAGAGAGTTTGACCGCGGCTCGAGCTTCGAGCTAATGCCCCAACAATCTCCTAACGCTGTGGAGGGCGTGCTACTCTCGTGTTTTCATGTAACCCTTGCTCCTATCTGGCGTAGATCCCTCATTTCCTTCGTTTTTCACTGAAGTTGCCTATCATTATTTCTTCCCTCGCAAGTTGGCCTGTACATCCTTCAATGTGAGACAACTCCCGATCTGCATGCCCTTACGCCGAAGAGGAAGACCGATGAAGCGCTATCGGAGGCTCGATAGCTACCTAATCTTTAGCGCCGTATTGCTTTTAGTTTTTTTCTTCCAGATTGCTTTAAGTATTGTATGTCTCTCGGCAGCGTTGCCATTTCTTCTAAGCATTGGAGCTCTGTCCCTCCAACTTGCTTTTAGGGTTCCACACTGCGCTATCGGAGCTCTGTCCTTGGTTATCATTGAATTCTCCGGGTTAGGACCCCGTGCGGAATCTATGGTCTTGTTTGGCCAAACACCCTCCTCATTATGGTGCTCCCTCGGCCTCATGGTTCCTCCGGATTTAACTGTAACACTTGAGATTTAATATAAACGGATTAATAGTACTACTCATACCAACAGAGGTGCATCTCCTTTTAAGGGAGCCCATCCACTAAGAACTCCAAAGTTAAGCGTGCTTGCACGGGAGTAGTCTTGGGATGGGTAACCCCCTGGGAAGTTTCTCAGGGCGCGCATAAGTGAGGACAAAGTGCGCGGTAAAGGCTAGTGGTGGTTTGTGAGGACAATACTATTGGTCCGAAGTAACTACCTCGGGTCCGGTGGGGCCGGGGTGTTACAGGTGGTATCAGAGCGACCCCGCGACAGTGTGATGACCCGTTGGATATCGGGCGGGCACTTAGCGGGGGGAAATTCTGGGATTTGATTGAGATTTGAGATTGGTTCAAGGGCGCAACGAGGACGTTGCGATCCTAAGTGGGGGTGATTGTAACACTTGAGATTTAATATAAACGGATTAATAGTACTACTCATACCAACAGAGGTGCATCTCCTTTTAAGAGAGCCCATCCGCTAAAAACTCCAAAGTTAAGCGTGCTTGCACGGGAGTAGTCTTGGGATGGGTAACCCCCTGGGAAGTTTCTCAGGGCGCGCATGAGTGAAGACAAAGAGCGCGGTAAAGGCTAGTGGTGGTTTGTGAGGACAATACTATTGCTCCGAAGTAACTACCTCGGGTCCTGCGGGGTCGGGGTGTTACAAATGGTATCAGAGCAACCCTGCGACAGTGTGCTGATTCGTTGGATATCGGGTAGACACTTAGCAGGGGAAAAGATTCTGGGGTTTGATTGAGATTGGTTTAAAGGCGCAACGAGGACGTTGCGATCCTAAGTGAGGGTGATTGTAATACCCGAGATTAATTTAAGAGGATTAATAGTACTACGCATACCAACAAGATGCATCTTCTTTTAAGGGAGCTCATCACCAAGAACTCCAAAGTTAAGCGTGCTTGCACGGGAGTAGTCCTGGGATGGGTGACCCCCTGGGAAGTTTCTCAGGGCGCGCACGAGTGAGGACAAAGTGCGCGGAAAAGGCTAGTGGCGGTTTGTGAGGACAGTACTAGAGGTCCCGAGTAACTACCTCGGGTCCTGCGGGGACGAGGTGTTACATTAACTGCCTGGGAGAAGCCCGAGGACCTTCTAGAGGGCGTTCTAGGTGAGCTGAACAAGGCCGGTGTATATTTCAACAAGGCTCGGGCAGCGTTTGAGCGTCAAGGCATGCAGATGGTCAATATCAAGAGTGGCGTTGAGGCCTTGATCCGAAGTGCCAAAGATTGTGCTGCCCGGATGAAGCAAATGTCAGTCTTTCTGATAAGAATGCTCGGGAGAATGCATCCGTGATGATGAGTTGAGGGCGCTTCGTGCCAAGCTGGCTGCAGTAAAAAAGGCCGGCATGGTTGTCCGACACACGGTGAAAGAGGTGTCAGCTCTATGTATGAGGCCAATATCTCCTCAATCAGGACTGCTGGTTCAGCATACTTTCAGCGTTCTAATGCCTTCGTAGAAGCTTTGACGAATACCGCTCGACAGTTCCTTCCCTGGTATGTTGGGGAGTATCTCGAGCGGAGTAAGGAGCCCCTTAAGGGTGGTATCAAGTTGCTTAATGGGTCACATACATGCAAGTGTTTCCTTTTCGACCTTGTCGATGACACTTTTTCAAAGGGCATGATTTGTCTTGTCCAAGACCATCTGCCGGTGTTCAACAGTGCTACCCTGCGCCCTTCGACCCTTAGCTGTCGGTTGTAATGATATGTTTGTGGATGCCTATGAGGAGGCACTCCTTCTGAACCGTGCAAAGGCAGACACTGCTCTCGAGGAATCTACCCCAGGTGGGGAGGAACATTGAGCATGTTGTATTTCCCGTTGTTGTACTTTGTATTTTTCTGGCCGGCAATGCCGATGAATAAAGTTGTTCTTCATTGTTGAAGTGTTTTTGTGTTGCTCTTATTTTTATTCTTTGAGAAGACTATTTCCCCATCATTTGTTTACGTTCGGCCTATTAAGCTCGACTAATCACTCCTTGTAAGTCGAATGAAGGCGTAGTCCATTCCTCGTTCAGACCGGCTAAGCCATACGAGCTGGGAAGACTAGTTCAACACCCACCCATTTTTTCCATCACTCGTTTTCGCTCAGTCCATTAGGCTTGGCTAATCACTCCTGATAGTTCGAACGAAGGCGAAGCCCATTCCTTGTTCCAGACCGACAAAGCCGATCGAACTGGGAAGACTAGTTCAACACCCTCTAATTTTTCTCATCTCTCGCTTTCATTCGACCCTTTAGGCTCGACTAATCACTCATGATAGTTCGAACGAGGGCGGAGTCCATTCCTCATTCCAGACGGGCAAAGTTGGTCGAACTGGGAAGACTGATTCAACACCCTCTGTTTGGGGTTTAAGGTTTAGGGTTTAGTTTTCCCCATCACTCACTTTCGCTCCGTCCATTAGGCTCGGCTAATCACTCCTGATAGTTCGAACGAAGGCGAAGACCATTCCTCGTTCCAGATCGGCAAAGCCAGTCGAACTGGGAAAATTGGTTCAACACCGTCCAGTTTTCCCCATCAATCGCTTTCGCTCGGTCCATTAGGCTTGGCTAATCACTCATGATAGTTCGAACGAAGGCGAAGTCCATTCCTCGTTCCAGACCGGCAAAGCCAATTGAACTGGGAAGACTAGTTAAACACCCTTCAGTTTTCCCCATCACTCACTTTCGCTTGGCCCATTAGGCTCGGGTAATCACTTTTGATACTTCGAACGAAGGCGGAGTCCATTCCTCTTTCCAGACCGGTAAAGTCGATCGAACTGGGAAGAATTGTTCAACACCCTCCAATTTTCCCCGTCACTGCTAATAGTTCGAGTGTTGGGGTTTATTCCTCCAAGTCCAAGGGCCCAACACCTTCCCTTGGGCTATCGATAGAAGTTTTAATGGATTGTGTGAATGTAAGGCACAAGTACTTAGCAAGAAATAAGAGAGGCAGTAAGTGGGTCGAGTTCCATAAATCAAATGAGAACAATTGTTGGACACCCTACATAAGAGAATAGAAAGTTATAGCTAGTGACTACAAGTTGTCAACCTCCAACAATGGAATAAATGCTAATCCCTCAATCCCATTTTGTAAGATATTTTTCTTATTCACTTGATCAACACAAATCACTCTTAATCTCTTTATATATCAATTTTTTTTTATCAAATTTGATTTTGGTTCTTGCGACTTTGTAAAGTTTTCAATGTAGTTTCTGAATATGTGATTTTTTTTCTAAAAATAATTTGAGTGCGGACGGGGATCCGTTTGATTTATCATCGGTCAAACATCGTAAACCATAAAGTATCTTACAACTCGGGGCAGCGGGAGTACTATTTATACTACCATGGGATAGGTGGTAATATTGATGTGGAGGATTGACTTGTGAGTAGCTAGCCTTCCAATCACCAAACTCTGCATATCTGGTACACTTAATGTGTTCCCGTCAATATTCTTGCTTTCCTGCCAATCATGTCGAGCGCTCCGACTGAGGCCTTCATGATCACTAGCCCAAACGAGACAAGGCAAGGGTGTCGCGCGGCCTATGCCGCCTGGGCTGCACTGAACAACACCTGGGCCTTTGCGACTCTTGCTTCCTTCTCCTTACAGGGTATTGGGCCGGCCTTGTATTAGGCCAATTGCCCCAACACAGATTATTTCTCTGTTTTAAGACTGGAGATGTTTTTAATTAGACCGTAATTTTCTAGTCTACTATATAAACTAGTCTGATAGATGCATGTTCTATGTGTATTTTACCACTATCACTTTAGAGAATCTAAGACGAATGTATGTCTATTACCCCAGGATATAAAAAGGCATTCATCAAATGTGAATAAATCCAGACGTTCTAATAATACATATAATCATATATGAGACCCCACATTCATTATTATTACTACCCAGCTGCTTGAAAATCCCCAAAATCATCTTCAACATCCAGCGGTCTTAGATTTAGAGGCATCCCCGATTGATGTTCAAGACTAAACACGGGTGGTGACCCACTGGGAGAATTCTCCACAACGCTGATGGGTGTTGGGGGCGGGGGTGGGGGTTTTATTAAAATAGCGCTTTCCTTTTTGTTGCCTCTTTCCTCTAATGACAGATTATTCAAACCTTGTTCAAAAAACTTTGACTTTATCGTCCCGCCACCTCCCGCTTTCTGTCAACATCAAGAACAATGAATGAATATATGTATAAGAAGGCTAACGCGCTATGTGTATATACTATATATAATTGCAAAAGAAGATCTTTACATTTTTTATTTGAAGTACAAGAGTCTCCCCTTCTTTTAGACTGTAATCTGTTGACGACATCTTCTGGAATTGTTGTTCCATCTCTTGAGCAGTTTTCTTCTTGTTTACATACCTATTTAACCGTCATAAAGCAGGCCAATCAAGACCAAGACTGAATGCATCACAATATCACATCGGTTAACAATCACAATCATATATTCATTCAATTGTGTTCCACACCAGAGCAATGTGTTAATCGGGAATTCGCCCACAGATCACTCGTGTCTCGTGATGTAAGGGAGGACTTCATGGCATATGTTTTAAGACTGAGATTAATACTCCATCTTTTATTGGTTGTTTGGATTATTTAAATTTTAACATGAAATCATCAGAAGCAGCCCATTTGGGCATCGGTTTGGGCTCAATTGTACGTCCCTGCAGTTAAAATCCCAACTTGGACTGAAGAGATGTGTCAAGTGTAAAGTAAACCCCGTCATATAGAAAACGAATGGGGAAAATAAAATCGGATATTGTATCATGACTGTACTTCATATGGTCATGAAGGGCAGCTTGGAAATCATAAGCTTCGGGTCTTTCCCGGAATCCAATGCCAACAAAAGCATGCCTAAGCCGACCCCCTGCATGTTTTGAGGATGATGTCATCACCATTGTTATAAAAACCAATGTGCATATTCACTGTTAGTAGAAGAGATTAACCTGGGTTAGGCATCAACATAAGAGAATTATTACTTGTTCAATGAATCTACTACTCTGGCTTCAACCCATTGAATTTATAAATCAGTATTAAAATTTCGTGTCCAGAAAGGGGAGAACCTTATGGGTCCATTTGGAACCCCGGAAATCACTAGGGAAGGAAAATAGAGATGGAAATAGATAGGTAGTTATAAAAGTTGAAAAGTAGGGGGGAAAATAAATTTTTGGTTCAAACTTTAATAGATCGAAATTACATATTTTAAGCAACTCCTTTTATTTATTTATTTATTTATTTATTTATACTAAATAATGACTAAGAAAAACCCAAGTATTAACTTCTTTTAATTAAATCCTGTTTTTCACCATACTTTCAAACATAAAACCAATATTATGCTTAAATAACACTGCATATTGTTTAATGCTTTCCGTACCATTTTCCGAGTTCCAAACATAGCATATGTAACGATACCTACAAGGCTATCAAACAATATTTGAAGTATTTATATTTTGATAAGTTAATACCAAAAGATTTTAGGGAATTGATCAATTGATTCAAGGGAAAATCGCACTTTTAGTCCCTGAAATAGTCACGAAAATGAAATGTCGGACCCATATTTCTGATATTGTAAATGTCACCCCCTCAATTGTCCAAATTGTTGTAAATGTGGTCCTTTAAGGGGTGAAATGTACTCTCGCCCACATTGTAGATTTCACCCCTCAAAGAACGACATTTACAGCATTTAGGACAATTGAGGGATGACATTTACAAACTTGGGAATACGGGTCCGACATTTCATTTTCGTGACTATTTCAAGGACTAAAAGTGCGATTTTCCCTTGATTCAATTACTAACAAGCTCATAACTGTATATGGTTAAGATTTTATGATATGGTTAAGTTAGTGAATTGATTCAATTACTATCAAGCCTATAATTGTATATGAATGTGATGGGATGGGATGGGTAAGAAAACACACTAGTAATGTAGCACAAGAGCATTCTATATATCAAATTACCAATATTTTCTTCTACTCGAAGAACGAAGTATCTGGAATGGAACAAAAGGGAACGTCGTCAATTCTAGAAAATCGGTCATCAGTCCATGAGGAAGAAAGACGGGGATAAAAAGGAATTTAAATGATGTATTTTAGATTACTATTATTATTATACTCTCCTCACCTGCTACTATCAATCACAGGCTCTACTGGATGAGGCTCCCCATCTCTCAGAAAAGCCTGAGCATATAGTTCACCTATTTTAAACATGTCAAACTCAGAGATTGCCTATCAACAAAATAATAATAATTTGAATACAACAGTTTTTTCTATCCCAAATATGTTTCCTGTCCCTATGAAAAAAAAAAAATTGCCTTGAATATCAGTAAAATAATTTTCTTCTTATCTTGTTACTTATCCCTGCCATTAGGTTTTTTTAGTTATTGATTGCCAACCTCCGTCCAAAAATAGAATTGTTTCATCAACTTTATCTAACTCATGAGCTACTACTAGAGGAGTTAGGGCTAATTGAAACTCATCATTCTCACTTTCAATTCAACACTTTCTCTCTCTCACTCTCTCTCTCTCTCAAAATAGAAAAGTAACCAACTAACCATTTTCTGTGGGATGACTACAACATTCTATGGGATAGACTCATCATTCTAAGCTCTTGCTTTATACTTCCCCCGTTCTTAAATAAGTGCAACACTTTCCTTTTTCGGCAGTTTCAAAATAAATGCAACCTTTCCATTTTGGGAAGGAAACACTAAGCAAAAGGACATTTATGCCCTTTATTATTTACAACCGTCCTCCCGTTTTCTGATTCTTTTTTTAATTTCTTTACTCACCCGTACCCACTCACCGATTCCATCTCTTACGCCACCTGCCTCTAATCCTCTTCCATCGGTGACTCTTCACCAACTCATCTATTTCTCCATTTCTTTCCTCAGGCCATCATTTCCCTCATTTTATTTTCTCTATTTTGATTTGTATTTCAATTTACGAATTACGGCCGGTCGAAATGGAAGATATGGAAAGGACATGAAACTGATTTTGCTCCGGTTACTCCCCAGGAGCTGAGAGAGTGAGAGACAGGGTGGTAATGGTTGCTTGTAGGCGGCGGTCGGTTTCTGCGGACTGCGGCAGCTTGATCTATTCACGTCGGATGATCAGTATCCTCACTCTCTCACCAAATTTTTTCATTAAAAAAAGTCACCACACGCTATATGCCCTGCTCAACAGTCATCGTTCAGCACCCATGTGTTTATCTCTGTTTTTTCTTTTTCAGTTTCTCCTTTCTTCCATTCATCCATAACCCATCTCCGTATCTCCCAATCTCACTTTTTTTTCTCACTCTTTTTTCTTCTTTCGTTTCTTTACTCCACTACCTTCTTTATTTTCATCTTTTTGGCTTTCTTTGGAGATCCACTCTAAAATCCTTCAGAGCATGGCTCATTTCTTTGAAGGATCTTTAAAAGTTTTAGTTACGATACTTTTTAGGGAAATTTATAATCCAGATCTGGGAATTAAGGAAATCGAAAATTGAAAGTAAAATAACTAAATTAACTGTACTCTAGTTCTTGGCCTGCTTATGAAGAAGAAGAAGGTAAGCAACACAAGGAGTTTAAAGCGAATTAAAGGTGAGTGGTAATAAAATTTTGGGAAATTGAAGGAAAGAGACGGTCAGCATTTGTCAGACAAGAGTTCAGAAAAGGGAGGGTAAGATAGGAAGAAAATGTCTATGGCTTAGTTTCTTAATCTCTGTGCCCGTTTGTATGTTGCATTCTTTTCCGAACAGAGGAAGTATATGAATTTGTATCTTTATATTTCGCCTATGTGGGATGGCTTAACACAACAAAAACCATAATTAAACTTCTTTTAATTTCTGGAAAAAAGGCATACAACCTGTTGCCTGGTCTTCAAGTCTAATTATGCACTCCTCTCCTTTGCTTATAACCTTTAGTCTGCCCTCCCACGCCCACTTGTTCACATCCCACTCATCAGCCCTACATTGAATTTGAAAAAAAAAAACAAATTTGATAATTAGAGAGAGATTATTGATGCTAACAATGTATTAGGATCACATCATGAGAATATATTGTAAGTATAAGAAGTAATAATTAATTAAAACCTGTATGAAGCTGCACTTTTTCTGGGAGGAATCTGTACATCAGCATACAATTAAAAGTGAGACAATTTGCTGCATCTACTAGTACTCATGGCCAGTACAAGAATTGATGCTAAAATGAGCTTATAAGAATTAAGAAATGCTCCCTTAACGGCTCTACCCCAAATAAAATTTCTCACTTTCCATTCCGGGTTGTAGTACAAAACTTTTAATGTCCTCATAATATGAAAAATGTTGTGTGGTTGATATCGTGTCTCCCTTTTTAAATAAACTTTACCCACACAATTTCATGCTCTTAATTCCTATAGAAAAAGCATATGAGAAGTTTATAATAGCATGGGGGGAGTAGGGAGTAACAGATAAAATTGATTTTTTTTCCTGGATTTCTTTTATTTATATTAAAATTCCAAGTAGTCATTCAAAAACTTTAGTAGAATATCCAAAACAAAATTATACTCAACAGCACAATTAAGAAAAGCTCTTTTCTTAATACTAACTTCATTCGGGGCCCATTGGAGGATGAGGTTTTGGTTAGAAAAGCTCTTTTTGAGAGAAAACTTTTGAAAAGTACTTTGCCTCAAATGCAATTCTCGAGACGCAAAACTAGAGTTGTTTGGGGTTGTATTTAGGTCAGTGGCATAGCCAAGATCCCATAAATTTTGAATTTAGGATAGACTGGAACATTAACTCATTCATATAAATTTTTACACTAAAAACTTTACACATATAAAATGGTTTTACAAAGCTTGGGGTTGCCCCCTCCTATCAACGCCCACGCGCTCAAGCCCAAAAGAGCTTTTTCAGCTGCAATCACAACCCTAAATAGAACATAGTATGTAATAACTAATACGTGCACCACCACAACAATAACATTACCCCAATGCCGCAAAGACTCCTATACTAAAGCACAGAGAAACTGTTTCCGGATGACCCATGATGAAAATCGCGTCGCAAATTGCATGGACTGACTGCTGCTTCATAACAAAGAAGCTCAGACAGTTTAGTGAGCCAGATTGCTTTATCCCATCATATTCACAATCCAAAAAATAGTGAATCTTTGACTCTATTGGTAATGATGGAAATAATAGCTAATACTTTTATTGAATCAAAATCCATTGAATCGACCAAGTAGCCAAATTGTTTTTCTTTACATATGTGTGTACTTAACCACATGCATGATGGTGTAACTTGAGATCATCAATAAGAAAATATCCATAATTTTATAACTCTAGCCTCTGTTTTCTGGAGCTGCATTTCAATGCTTCTATCGTATTCCATGTATACAGAAAGTGCAAAAGTGTTTCAAAATACATCTAATAACTAGATGAGTTCACATGGAAGATAATAGTAAAGAGAACATTACTGGAGTTACCATCCTGATTTCATATAACTAATATTATAGGTATTTTTAATCCCAGAATATGCTAGGGAGTTTTTTATAAAGTCAAGGAAAACTAATTTCTAGTGTCTCGTTATACCTGAGAAATGCAAAGAAAAATAAAATATAGTTAATGGTATTTTGAACATTTTAAATATGTTTAGATTTCTCAAGTCTTTATGTAATGCAGAATAAATAAATTGTTTGAGTTTAAATAAGTATAAAAAATTATTTTATTTCAAGCAGTGTTCCTTTTACCTCGCACTTTCTTCCCTCTATCAGTTCACCTATATTTCCCTCCCTATTTCAATTCCATACTACTTTCAAAGATCCTAATGGGCCCTAAAAGACAAAGGCTATAATCTCCGGTTACAAGATTTAAAAGCACTCCACCTCTTTGAAAACCCCATTAGTGGTATGTTTATTTCAAGGTGAACCTAGGTTGTTCTAGGTTTAATTTTAGGTTCACCTCATTTGTTTTGTATTTTGTAATAAGAATCTAGTTTTAGAGCAATTTAGTAACACAGAAATTGATTGAATCAACTGAATCTATTGAAATTAGTGATATTCTGGCTGAAGTGGTTGAATTGACTGGATATGTTGTGAATTGTGGAGAATTATATTTCAAATTAATTTTTTAAACAAATAAACAAAGAATTAGATGAAGAATAACTTAATGGTCATCTTCAACAATTTCAGCTAATTCAATCAGAAAAGTAACTCTAACCTCACTTATATAGAGAGCGGGGAGGGGCGGAGGAAGCAGATCTGAGCCCCAGGCCTTTGCTGGTCTACCGTAGGCGGGGACGGGCTTGAGCCCACTTTCTTGTGCCGGCTTAGCTATTTTAATTAGCTTTAATTATGATAGAGGAGCAGGGAGGGGCGGAGGAAACAGATCTGAGCCCCAGGTATTTCCTGGTTTACCATAGGCGGGGACGGGCTTGAGCCCAGTTTCATGGGCCGGCTTAGCTATTTTAATTAGCTTTACTTAATTCCTTTAGTTATTTCCTTCTATTATGTTTCCCATTTTATTTATGTTTCCTAGTATGATTTAATTAGGACTTCTAGCTTAATTGTAACTAGTGGGCTAATCAAACCCCTAGTTAGGGTTATTCGAACCATCCATTAATCAATAAAATTGGAGTTTTAGCTTTAAGCTTGGGCAATGGTTGCTACCGTTGATTGTTAATTTTCTGTTTTCATCAATTACACAATTCAACACGTGAAGTCAAAAGTTGCGTATTTAAGAAAAAAGATGACTGGCAATACTGATAGGTCAAAAATAAGAGTTACGAAAGAGAACTAGTTTTGGAGAACCTCACAATTGGAGGTTTCCGGGGGTTAGATTATCTTTATAAGAGAATTTAGTGCCCGTTTGGAGGAGCTAAAATGGGCTGAAAAGCCTTAATATACACAAAAATCACCAAACACCCCTTTATGGGGCTGATTTGGCTGATGTTTAGGCTATGTTTGGCACACAAAAGACTCTAGCTTCTAGCTTCTCTATTCTTTAAAAAGACCTTAAAAGACTCTAGTTGTATGTTTGGCATGACATTTTTTAAGAGCTTTTCAAAAATTAAAAGATCTTTTTTGAGATGCTACCAGGTGTAGCATCTGAGAAAAGCTCGTGACTTTTAGTTTAATTTAGTCCTAACAGCTTGTATACCAAACCGAACTAAATCAAACAGTCAGCTTTTTACCAAACAGCTATCACCTTTTCTTTTTAAGATCTTTTCAGTCACTAAAAGCTAACAGTTACTAAAAAGCTCGTAAAAGTATCTTTTTAGCTAGTTGTGCCAAACATACCCTTATTATCAGCTGAAAAAGTAGCTCAAAGCTTACTTTTTTGGCTAATATCTATTATAGTACGGTTAACATATTAGTTGACCTCTTTATCCCTCTTTTTGCATTTTCAATACTTCAGCTTTATACGTAGTATTTGGCAGCTGGGTTTGATTGGGTGGGAATTATTTTCTTCGCATGGGTTTTGACGTTTTGTATCAAATTTTAGTAGGTGAATTTCAAGAGTTCCACAATGGTAACAACCAGATTTGGACCACTATGTAATTTTGCTTATATTTGGTAATTATTCTATATAAACATACATGGGGTGTTTGGTAAACGGCATTTCGGCCGAAAAATGGCGGTTTGACCACTTTTAGCATTTTCAATAAGTGAAAACGTTGTTTGGTAAATAGTTGTTCGGCACCAACGTTTTTGGGTGAAAACGCAAAAATGAAAACGCGCCTAATAGGAGAGTTTTGGGTTGGCGTATTGAAAAATGACATTTCTACTGATTTTATGGTCAAACAGCTAAATTACCAAACATTATCTTTTGACAACCCGCCAATTTATTCCGCTAGTCAAACCCGCTGACCGAATCTGCTATTGACAACATGTTAACATAACCCGCTATCCGATAACCGCTAACCGCTGAATGTCAAACACGCTCACAATCAGAAAAGCTACAAATACAAAGAATTTTACTTATAATTGGTAATTGGTAATTGTTTTAACAAAAAGTGAAGTTTGAAATAATTGTTTTAGAAAAATTTAAGTATATTTATTAAATTAATTTACTCATATTAGTCACAAAAATAATACTAATGTTGCTCCTTCGAAAATACAATTTTTTGGAATGTAGTTGTATAAAAAAAATCGACGTAAGAGTAGGAATGAAAATTTCAAAGTAATCAAGTATTTTAAGTAGTCTTATAATTACCTAATCAAGCAAAAGTAGTTTATTAGTAAAATTCACACCCATATATTTAACACAAATAAATTAATACCCTGTATAGTAATTTTACACTCAATCAGCCATTTCAGCCAGCATATTACCAAATGCTTTCACTTCAGCAAATTAAGACTTTTCAGGCTTTTCAGTCATTCCAGCCAATGCAGCGGTTACCAAACAGGCCCTTAACACATTTACTTGGATTAATTTTCATCCAAACTAACTTTCACAGCATCCACCTGAATTAAGATGGTAATTATTAAAAGGGAAAACTGTCAAATAGGTCCTCGAACTTTCATAAAAAGGTCAATTAAGTCCTTCTATAGGACGTTCTGTCCGGCCGTCGCGATTTGGGGCAGTTCCTGGTGGAATTTTTTGATGAAATTTTTTGAGCATCTTATTCACTAAGTCTAGTTTACTCATACCAAATTTCAGCTAAAAATTCAATCGGAGACACATTCAAATTAATTCTTGAAGATAACTGCGCATTTTTGCGTTTTCGAATTAATTTGAATGCGCTCCCCATTAATTTTTTAGCTGAAATTTGGTATGAGTAAACTAGACTTGATGAGTAAGATGCTCAAAAAAATTCATCAAAAAATTCCACCGGGAACCGCCCCAAATCGCGACGACCGGACAGAGTCTCCTATAGAAGGACTTAATTGACTTTTTTATGAAAGTTCGAGGACCTATTTGACAATTCTCCCTTATTAAAACGGCAATTTTATATGTGCATTTAGGTTCATGTGCACCCAATTTTTACAAAACCTAGACTAAAATCAATTCAATAGGTTTGCTTAGGTCACTCTATCCAAACGGACCTTAAGGTCTTCCAATTCAAAGCATCAATTATCAAGTATCCTGCATCACTGCTAATTCAAGAACCGATTCAACAACCAAATCCAACTAAGAAGCTGGGATTCTTAAATCTAAGAGTTTTCCATCATTTCGATTTCAGAAGTGGGTTTAGCAAATTTAGGTTAAAAGTTTGAACATTGAGATATCATATAATCCCAACATCTGAAGTTTTTAAATCTAACAAATTCAATTCTCATCAAACAACAAGACTCCAATGTTCAAACGGCCGCAGCCAAATAATCTAATTCTTCCAACCTAAATTAAAATTTACATACATTAAACCCCATTGCAGTCTCCCAGAAATAGCCAAAGTAGGTGCTTCAAAAAGAGAAGATGGTGGGTTACCATGTAAACATAGCATTCTGATACTTGAAAGAGAACAAGCTCCAATCCTTCTTCTTCTCCGGGCTCTTCTAGTTTTAGGTCTGTGTTTTTTTCTGTCTCCATGATCTGATCCAATCTGATTAGTCTTTTCCAAGCTTCGTCAAATAGCTGAATTGTGTCTTCCTAACGGGACTCAACGTCAATAAATCTAATTCTCCACGGGATTATAAGTATTGATTCAGTCAATTAAGTTTTTTCATAACTCGAAACTATCAATATATTCATTCAGCACATATTTTTTTAATAAAAGTGTCAATCCTTACTTTTTTTATTAGACATCGTTTATGTTATAAATTTATTTCTAACAATAATTATGATTTTAAAAGTCAAACATTCTGATATAAAAATAAATAAATTTGGAATTTAGTTTTTCTTGGGTACAAACTCAGGTCTATTTTATCAAAAAAAAAAAAACCCCGAAATACGAATAAAACAGTTTGAAAATTCCAAAATAGGACTATCATGTTTTTTATTCCCGAAATATGACTAATTACTGTCATGTTTTGCCAGTACCAGGCTTCAAACATGGCAGCATTTTCCAAACTTGACAGTAATAACTCCTATGGATCTCTGATTGCCGGAAACAATTCTTCTTGGATCAATTTTCCCGTTCCGAGACCTCATCTTCGAATCTTGGATGAAGGGTGAGCGACAGTCCATGAAATATAAAGATTAAGTGACAACAAAGCTTCAGAAGAACAGCAAACATACATTTTCATGTAGTTAGGTGGATATGCTGCTATTGGACCAACTTATTAATTATGCCTCCGGGAATCTTTGGACATCTCAATGACACCTAAATGGTTTTAAGAACTTTACACTAAGAAGAAAATGGAAAGAGAGGGGCGGCAGAGATGGTGGTGCTGGGGAAAGCTGGCCAAATTTGTCCAAATTTTCACCAATGCTCCTTTCTCCATAAATTCTCCATAAATTTCAAACAAGAAGAACAAGGAGTGTGATGGATGAGAATATGTCTAGAAATTATTAACAACGAAGAAGATAGGAAGAAGGGAGAAATAAAGAAAGTTGCGAAGGAATTAAGAATAAGAAGGGTAGGGAGAACAGTGGAGATTGAACGAGGTTGAAGGAAGAAGAAAGGCGTACAGGACAGAGCTAGAGTGAGAGAAATAAAAAATGAAAAGGGAAAAGAGAGAGATATTTGTAGTCCAATAATATTGAGACACGTGGGAAGGCAACCTATTGATTTTTTTTATTCCGGTCATAGGTCTACTTTGAGAAGATATCATTAATAAATTGGATTATTTTAGAATTACTCATAATTGGGATTAATATTGAAAGAACGGTAAAAGGTGAGATTATTTATGTGAATTTTTCCTATTTTAAATAAATTAGAATTTTTGTTTGAAATGGGCCCCATATCTTCTTTGTTGCGAGGGAACAAACCAACCGCGTGCATAGTAAGGAAGCGCACGCAGCTCGCTCCTCCACTCTTTCCTCCTGCGCGCGTCACTTGCATGTCCCGTCTTCTATCTTCTGTGCAAGTCAGCGGAGTGAATGAGGCGGACACATCTCGCTCCCCTCCGACACCTGTATTCACTTTGAGACTTTGGTATACGAAAAAGTTGCTAGGTTGCAGCTGTTTTGGGGTGAAAACCTCCCATTTGGGGTTTTCACCCTTCCCCATTGCGGACAGCCTAATACAGTTTTTTGGGGGGTAGTGTTAATAGAGAGATTTTAATTGGTCGGCGCCTACGCAAGGTATTGGGGATTTTGGTAAATAAACATTTGGAAAATATGAGTAAATTGAATCTTACTTTAAAAAAAATAAGATTTAATTAGAGTGGGCCTCTACTGCGGGTCGGCAAACGGACATTAAGTACATGCATCCATCTAGCCTGGATTCTAATTTAGAGGCGTTCAGTCATAATTCCTCGCATGGTAACTTTCAGCTTTTCAACCTAGCGCTATGACCAATTGTGCGAATCAACAGTTCCTCTCGTACCGGGTTGAATTACCATCACGATAATATCATGGTAAAAGTAACATGTCTCATGACGGTCTAATCTCAGCACTATGGGGCCTTATTTGTGTACACTTAAATTCTGATTCCCACAATGAATAACAACGTTTTGGGTGTTGTCAGTGCTTCAGTGAACATATAAACTTTTAATAACTGACACACTTGACATTCTAAGCATTTCATGTATGAATTGTATATGGCATGTCAGTTTGTGTCCATAATCTTGAAGAAATTGAAATAGAATATCATGGCTAATTTCGGTTGATATGTAGGTTATAATGAAGATGACACGTATGAGATAAAAAAGGGAAGACTCCAATCCAAATTCGAGATTGAAGGAAAATCATGTTCTTCAGAAGGTGGGATTTTCAGGGAATCCCTGTGCACATGCAATTTGTGTCATCCTTCATCATAGTAAGAATCCGGAGGACTATGTCAACAGTTGCTACTCTAAAAAATGTACGAGAGGGCATATGAATGTACTTTACAATCCTCCAAGAAAACGAGTGAAATGCCAAAAAAGAAAGAGGCTAGTGAATGTGAGGAGAGTGAGCCCCCCTCACTCCCTCAGGATCACAGTTCTCGAGAAAATGTAGATTGATGAGTTGTTCAATGTGTAAGAAGCCCATGCATAAAAGAGAAAGAGGGGGGAGGGGGAGGGGAAGGATGACAAAGTGGAACCTTTGATTCTAATAATCATGGTTCCTGCTGTTGTCCCTACACTCAGACAATCTTGTCCTTTTCCATTGGTCTTTTTTGAGTTGACAGACTACATTTTCCTATATCAGTTTAGAAATTGATGATTAATTAATTGGTGGCTGAGGGCTGGCAAATTAAAAAACACTTACATATATTTTCAGACATAATTTACCTGGGATTGTTGTTTGACACTTGTGGAAACTTTATTCCAACCTAGTGTGGGGAGATCAACATCAGGTCCCCCTCTTGAATCTAATATTTTTCATATCAACAAATATTCTCAGAACTGGTCTTACAATTTACAAAAGATGAAGTTAAGCGCAAACGTAGAACTTTTGAAGTCCGAAAATCATCCGCGAAGGCTTTAGACTCGCTATTATGTAGCATACTTACCAGATTGAGCACAAGGTGGAGCGATTCTAAGAACTGAGGCCATAGAAATGGTATTTTCTTTAAACTTCTCTATCAAGGTCGATTCGGTGTTCGAAGCTGAGTTAAAAGCTTTATTTCATACTACCACCACAGCTACAACATTGGGCTATGTTGACATCCAGGTGGGACAGGTTTCAACTCGGTTGTTCTCGTTGCTTCAGGATGAATGCTATAATGGAAGATGGTAGGCCCTGGCTACCGAGCTTGGTAGGGTTGCTAACTTTGCGCACATCTCCTTCGGTCATACACTTAAAGAAGGCAATTGGGCTGCACATTGCTTAGCCGAGTTGCATTTGGCTCCAACGAATGAAATGTATTTTGACAACCTTTGTTCTCTACCTTCTTTGATTAAAAGGTACATCACAACTTATTCTCTTGGTTTTCCCTTTTTTTAGACATGTTTAATTTGGTTATGGTTTGGTCCCCCAAAAATTGTTATCTATTTTTCTTTCATGTATTTCGAAAGGGTAATGCCCTTTCTAGATATATTTTGGCCTAGCCTCACTTTCCCTTTGTACTTATTCTTCTATTTCTAATAAAATCAAGTAAATGTTCCCAGACATTTACCCAACCGGTGGGTGGTTTGCCTTCCGGGTTAATAAAAAAAAGTGAAACCTCTAATAGTGAACCTACTGGACGTGGAAACCAAGTTGGTAGGGGAGGGGAATGGAGGAGAACTAGGGGAAGAGGAAAGAGGCCAGTTGCACTACATGAATCTGGATTCGGTATATACACTTATCCAGAAAGTGGAGCCATAGTTTTGAATGTAAGCATTTTTTTAACATTAGTCTTACAACCAAACAACCTGAGCTCTGTAAAACTAAATTAGATTATGTTTGTGTAGCCCGTGCAGCATGGAGAAGCAGTGGTTTGTGTGGGAATCAAGTTTTTGGGATGATATTGCATGCCGAATGTGAACACACTCTTTACAGAATTAAAAGACATGTGGCCCTATTTTGTCAATATTGTGGTGTAGTAGCATGTGATGGTCATATTTTTGTGGAGTGTTTATGGATGAATTCCAAACTTATGGTCCCTAGTAAGGTAAACGTCTAGAGGTGGAGTGAATAGACTTTTAATCTTTTTCGATTTTTAAGTCTCTTTCCCTCTTTGTGAGTTGATTCTTAACCTTTTGAGAGGTTTTAGAATCAATAACGGAAGGCTTTCCCTTTTTATGAACACACTTGTTTGAAATGGATGGACAGAAGGTGATTTTGAGATTTGAATGGTAAAGTGAGGAAAGGTAGAAGGCCTATTGAATCCCCTTTGATTGAATAATTGTAGAAGAAGTAAAATCAGCAGGCAGCGGAAAACTACTTTTGAGAGAGTTGTTTTCCTGGGAGTTGTTTAAGACATGTTTCAGAAGTGAAGAGGATTGTTCAACTTAAGCTGGGTTTACCAACTAGGTTTATATTACCGTAGCTAGTTGTAGGACTTAGTGTGTGATTTGTGTGGTTTAAAATAATAACACAGTGATATATCCTGGTTCAGCTGTGTTGTAATCCTCTTACGTCCAGTCTCATCCTATTTCACACAGATTTCCACTAAGCTATTAACCAATACATTTGGTGACCAGTTTATTATAGGCATAAACTATCAGGTTTTCACAAGGAGTACAACCCACTCCAAGTTACTCTAGCCTTTAGGTGTTTCACTAATGAACCAGGGAGATTCAAAAGCTAATCAGTCCTAACTCCTAAGTTTTCGCTAATGAACCAAGATGATTCTAAAGCTACTCATGTCCTATTCTACTCACTCTTTGGATTTGTTCACAAATCTTCCAAAGGTGTTACAATATCTTTTCCAACTATTCTAAGCTCTAGTATGAATTTTCCGAGTAAAGTAGTCTAAGAGCTTAAAGATATGTGAACGAGCTAAGAGTGAAGTGATAAATTAACACTTTCTCTTTTGCTGGATCTTTGTATATTCTTGTGATGATTGCACTGAGCTCGTTGCCTTTTTTAGCTTCACATTCCCTGTGTATTTATAGAGTTTTTGGTGCTGAATATCTCCCATTGGTTGAGGAGATTCTATTTGGAACGTTGATTAATCCATTTGA